CCCCATCTCTTTCACTTGGAGGAACCCTAGAAGAAGGTGCAGCGCCGTCAGTCCCCACCGCTGCTTCACCAAGATCAGCCGAAAACCAGTCCAAAACAGCCCGCAAAAATCAGCTAAAACACAGCTGAAAACCAGCCACGATACCAGCCTCAAATCGCAGCAAATCTAGCTGCGAAACAGATCCAAAAACGACTTCGAAACCCTTCGAACTTGGCGTTCTAAGCAAGCGACTTTCATTGAACTTGGCGTTCAAAGCAAGCGAGTTTTATCTTCCTTGGCGTTCAAAGCAAGCACTGCTGTTGAGTTCGTAATACTAATAGTTTCCCCATTGCCGTTGAGTTCGTAATACTAATAGTCTCCCCATATTTTTCTAGTTATTTCTACTGACAACAAACATTCTACTCCTAGTACATAGTTTGATACATAGATTTTAGCATTATTGAACATGCCTGAAGACTCTTGTACTGACCGTGCTCTCTTTGGCGGCACTATCTCTACCACTTTCCCTCTCCGTTTCCAGGTTTTTCCTATTCCAATTTTCTACTGGTCTCTACATATTACTATTATCTTCTAAATTTACTTTTTTGCCAATTGCCTTTATTTCTTCATTCTATCTGATTTGAACTCTCCTAAGCTGTGTGATAGGTTATGGCGGCTTAAAAAATAGCCTACTACTTAAATGAAATGAGTTCGAATAAAACTGAATGGACATAGAGGATTCATATAGGCGATTTAATAGCAAGTTTTTAGATATTTTATCTGATTGTGGATGAAGTGAAAGTATTGAGGATGTTGTTGAATTTCACTGATTTTGCAGGATGTCAGTAATGTGCGTCAAGTTCCTGATCATCAGGTTTGTTTCCTTCTTTCTTCTTCACTTTTGGTCAAATTAGAGACACCCTATTTGCAATTTTTGAGTAAAAGTTTTATCTTGGATGAAATTTCTGTTTTTTTTTTTGGTGTGTATATTCCTTTGTTTCTAGTAGTTTGTTTAATGTGTTTTCTGGGTTTGTTTAAATTATATGAGGTTTTTTGCCTTTGTTCTTGTTCGCTTCTTATTAGATTAAAAAAAATGCAGTGTTATTTATAAAAGGTTAATCTGGTCGAATTAGAGACACCCCCGTTTGCAATTTAATGGTAAAAATTTAATCAAACTTCTCAACGGCAGTGCTTGCTTTGAACACCAAGTTCGAAATGTTTGTTGTCAGTAGAAAGAACTAGAAAAATATGGGGAGACTATTAGTATTATGAACTCAGCGGCAGTGCTTGCTTTGAACGCCAAGTTCGATGAAAGTCGCAAAAAGATTATCAGAGCCAGGAAATACAGGAATTTTCATTTATTTTGGATAGTTTTTCATTATTTTTTCTTCTCATCTTCTGCTCAGATTTGTTTTACTTTGATTGTTTGAATCGCAGGAGGTGTTTGTGGACCCTGCGCGCGACGAGAGTTTGATAATTGAGCTTCTTGATCTGAAGGTGGATGTAGCAGACAGTGGAAGTGCCACCTGGTTTCTTCAGGACCTTGCAAATGAACAAGATGCAGAGGGAACTACGGTAAGCTCTTTCTTTATGGACAACTTTTTTTTGTTCTCTTCATTTGTGCTTTATGCCAATTTTATCTGCTTTTCGAGGTGGTGAATATCAGATATGCTTATGTGAACTAATTGTAGGGACATGACGACACTCTGATGACTATCATTCTTTAATTTGTCCGTTTGGATTGTTGTTCTTGTTTTTGTTGTTATTGCTCAAATAAATTAAAATCAGCATATATAATGGACACAGAATTCATATAGTCGACCCTATTAATTTGGATTGAGGCATGGTTGTTTGATTGATTCAACCAATAGTTTAAAATTGGTTGAATATATGAATTCTCAAAGCTATCAACTACTTTCCAATCTCTCAAAGCTAATTGTATTATGTTTTTATACGCTTGGGTTTATTTATCCCCCATAGATTCCCCTGATAGTTATTTGAATTTTGTTAGCTCCTTAGTATTAGCCTGAACATCTGTATTGGAGCTGACATTATTCCTTTTTGCTATATCTCTTTTGTAACTATTATGCATCTTCTTGATGCCAGCAATGAAATTAATTACTTCATCAAAAAAATAGTTTAAAATTGAACTAGGAGGGACAGCAAAACTCATCAAGTTAGTTGGACATTAAATTGTATCAGCTGTTTGGTATGACAACTATTGTGACCTTGTCAAAAAAAAAAAAAAATTATCATATTGTGACTCTTGTCCTTTCTTCAAATTTCAACTACTTTGTGTTTCTCTAGTTTTATGTGTGAATTCTTATAAACTATTCAGGCATTTGGTAATCGTTGAAAACACTGATGCACAGAGGGCAGAGTGAAATGAAATTTATTTTCCTTTTCCATCAACTGGTCCTAGCAAAAGTAGGAAAAAAGGCTACTACTTCCAAGGGATATAAAGGAAGAACATCTTGAAATTGGACATAAGGATCGATAATTTTGTTGGGCCCTGCGTCCTCCTTTAAGTGCTCTATGTCTTTCACAGTCTGAACTTATATCAAAAGAATACTTTGAACCTATGCAGGCTGGTCTGTAGACCTCTTACATCTTTCTCACTTTCCTACATCCCAAATGAAGAATGCATCTTTCCCAGAGATTAAGTTAATTATTAATCCAAATTGAACTAACCATCCAAAAGCTGCACTAAATCAGTAGAGTACCTCCATATGTTGCTGTTTAGTTCTATATTTTCATTTCCATTTCTTTCAAAAGAATTTTCTGATTTCAAAGTTGTTTAATGTCTATTATTTTGGTATTATCTCCTTTTTTGAGTTAACATAATGATGATTTTACTGATAACTCTCTGGGAGAGTTTTTCTTCAAGATACGGTAGTACCTTGCCAAATAGTTGTTCTTCTATTACAATCATATAAACGGGAAATTTTTGACGTGAAAATGTGCGAAATTGAAGTGTGCATTTTCTTAAAAGCTTGCACTTCAACAATTCGTTAAGCCAAATCATTTATAAGTTGTTCGGTTACAATTATTTTGTTGATTCTTTGTTTGTATCTGCAGATCATCGAGCAGTCAGCAGTATTTGAGGCTCCTGGATTGTGCTATAGAAACACGCCTGCTGTCATCACCACTGCTGTTGCTCAAATGGTATGTTAGTGTTATTTTAGAATTACTGAGCATTTATTGATGATCTCAACTTCAGTTGGTATCTTATTTTATGGATCTTCATGTGTATGACATGGTTTTTTAGAATAAAAACAAAAGCTGTTCTCATCTCTCATCGCAATTTAGTAAGTTCCCATGAGTTCATATACCATGTGGCTGAAGCATCGTTTATTTAATGACTATTTAGCCTCTCTAGAAACCATAATATCCTTCATTCTCTTTACAGTAAGTTGTGTTGTTTATGCTCCTGTACGGGGACGGGATTCAGAATTTGTAGTTATCTTCACAAAGTTGGTAAATCCATGTGTATAGTTTTCTGGAAACTATAACTCATGGCCTTGATGACTTGTATTTCTTTGTAGTAAGGCCTTGATGACTTGTATTTGCTTTGAATACATTTTGTAGAGGAGCCCGGTCCCTTTATCAGCTCACAGTTTTTTACATGTTAGCATTAAGTGCCTCGGCAAATACACTTGAAATTGATTTATTGGCGAAAGAACTTAGGGATGGTGCTCCCATGTCATGTTTATGATGCAAATGTAATATGCATATATTTCCAGAAGAGGATTTAGTTTCCAGCCAGATAGTTCCCTTTTCTTTTACTTTTAAGAGGTAGTATTTTAGTAAAGCTATAGTATTTCTATTCTTCATTTACTGTTGCATGAAATAATTTTTCTGGAGAAATGAAAGTAGATGTAAAGATTGTTAGATCTACCAGAACACATATTTTCAACTAGGATGAGAGTCGTGGACGATGCTAGCCAGCTTGTTGTAAAATTTCATAAATTGCTTTCGTTAGTTGATCAAATTATCATTTCATGTTGTCAATCTAATTGAGATCAACCTTATTCAATTCATAGGCCGTTTCTAAGGGAAGACAAGGTAGGGAAGCACAGAACTTGGTTAAGGTAAGTTTGTTAATTCCCTTTTCCACCCCCTACCTTTACCCCGTTGCAGTTATAACTGCAAAATGAGATATGATCGCATCCCATTCAGGTGTACCTGGCAAACCTTCGCCTTAAGGATGTTGGGACGGATATTCTCATAACTGCATATGAGCCTTTATTAATAAAGTAAGTTGGGACACTAACTCGGTTTACACCTGGTGATCTTAAAGCTATGATGTCAACTAGGCTTTTTGTTTAACGTTTTCGTGTTTACCTTTGTGATTGTAGCCCCTTGAGTGAGAGTGCTAGCACAGTCGGGGCTGGCGTAGCTGTACCTGCTGCACAATCTGGAATTATGCCGATGGCTGAGGTTTTTAAATTTGCAGTATCTAGTTTCAAAGTTCATGATTGGAGCCTCTTTGGTACTGCTACTGGAGGTGTTGAATGATTTAAATAGTCACACAAATCTAGCATCTCTTTGGGGATTATTGGTCCATTTTTCAACAGCATGTCTGTTCTCTGTTGTTCTGTTAATTGCTTAAAGAGTTGCTGTTGTAGTGGATGTATTGAGTAAATTTGTTACGCAATTTCTCCTTTCATCTTTTGTTCAGGATTTTTGTGCATAGTGCAGTGCAGTCCATTTCTTTCCTTGGATAAAAGCAGCAGCAAATGGGACCAGATGTCTCTTTACTTCCAAATATCAAATGCAGCTCAGACAGATAACAGAGTTTCAAATATAACTAGAAGGAATGGAAATTAAGTGGGACATAAGAAAGGTAAAATTCCAAAAAAAGTGAAAAAAAAAAAAAAAAAACTCAAGTGAATATGGTATTTGAATATTAGAGTTGTGTTTGGACATGAATGTAATTTTGGGTTACTTTTGAAGTTTTGTGAGTGAATTTTGAAAAACAGCTTTTTGGATTTTTTCAAATTTTTGAAAAATTTCAAAATTCATCTTCAAGTGAAAATTGAAAATTTTATGGTCAAACACTTATTTCGAAAAAAAGTGAAAAAATTTCTTATGTCCAAACAAGCGCGAGCGTATTATCAAAGATTACATTAAGCTACATTACTTGTGTGATAGAATTGCAATAGAAAAGCGATTAAAGTTTGAATGAAGTAAAGTTTATCATTTTGGTGTTTTCATGACTTGGTGTGTTAGCTTGCACGCTCCTGTGCTCTACTCTTGTACTTGAGTAAATTTTTCTAAACTTAAACCGCATAGGGAATTTGATCTCTTCATCATTTTTATTTAATTGTAGTAGTGGTTCCTAAAAGGGTAAATGTGGTAGTGTTTCCATTGTTTTACATACTTGGTTAAGACTAAAATAAAGCACAATACATGTAAATACAGAAACTAAGATCATTACAATCCAAATGATGCCTAAAATAAACAATGAGAAAAAGAAGAGTGTATAATATAAATTTTGAACCCACTAACTATAAATTCTGAATTTGTCTCTGTTACCTACTCCAAACTCCACCAGAAAGGAAAGAAAATGAATATGACTTCTTTTCTTTTGTAACAAAGAAAAGCTGCGGCTTTCCCATTAATTTAATTACTGGTTGGCAATGGTAGACTTTTGGCAAAAACTTTAGAACCAGGTACTGCCGATTCAACTCCAGAATGAGATAGAAGATGTTAATCTGCTTTCTTGCAGGATAAAAAGAAGGAATAGTTACCTCCTATAGCAAAGGTTGATACCTTATTTATTTTAAAATAAATACCCTTTTAAAAACTTATATTTCATAGCTACCTTTTAATTTTTTATACCCAAATATCTATTTATGATCACCTCCTACCCTTAAGCCATAAAATAAGCTTTGTATTATTTTTCTCTCTCATGTCCCCTCAAATTTCTCCTATCCCCTACCCCATATCTATTCTCCCTCTCTCTCTCTCTCTCTACCTCCCGATGTCTTCTCCTCCGCCGGACGCTGGAGCAATTGCCACCGTCACTGTTTCGACCGTGGCCGTTATTCATTGATACTGCCTCCCAATTAGCACATTCAGTCCTCTTTTCTTCTTCTTGTACAATTTCAACAATTGGCGGTGCCTCTATCGAAGCCTTTGTTGCCGGCGGTGAAGGCCCCTGCAGATTCTGAACGGTACTACTCGTGATTGATTCCCTACTACTTCTATAATCCATGGAAACTTCGATCACGTACGATCTTTGATGCAATAGCAGTTGGAATTAAAGGCGGCGCTGGATCGTCGGCAACCGGAGGCAACGGTGACGGCAAGCGAGGACTGGATACTGATGCTGCTTCAACGAGACGACATTAGGGTTGTTCTTGAACAAAGACGACGGAGTTGGGGGCTCAATAACTTGAATTTTCTGTTAATATATTTCAATGTATCTCGCTGTATTCTATGTATTTCATTGTATTCATTGTCTTTTTTTTCATTGTATTTCAATGTATCCCGCTGTATTCTATGTATTTCATTATATTCAGTGTCTCGCTATATTCCATGAATGTATTCATATGTTTTTTTTAATTAATATAATTTATGTATTCAGATGTATTATATAATTTCTCTGAAGATTGCTATGTTTTTGGGGTTTTGGGTTAAGAATCTTTTTTATAACTGGAAATACAAAATTTGTGTGTTATAATTGAGTTTGTTGAGTTATATTAGGAGTCTATTATGTTAGTTGATTCACTTTCCGTTTAAAAACAGTGTAATCCCCTGTTTCATACCGTGAATATAGTCGAATACAATAATCTGTCCAGCTGTAATCCCATGTTTCACGCCATGAATACAGTCGAATACACTCGAATACAAAAATCTGTCTAGCTGTAATCCCCTGTTTCACGCCTAGAAATGCTATTGTATTCATCTTAAATACATCGAATACACTCTAAAAAATCTGAAAACATAGCTATAGAAAGTAATATAGTAAATGGTAGCTACAACTAGCTAATAACCACTAAAACATAGTGGTTTCCGAAAGTTTCTCGAAAAAGAATATTAGTTTTTGAGGAATATGCACAGCAAACATGTTTGGACCCATAGCCTTACCCATTGATCGATGCTATGAAATTATATTTCTGCCAAAACAGTGTTCAATATTACAATAACAAGAACATGGGAAACAGAGGCATATACTAAACACAAAGCGCCATATAAAAGAAAGATGATGTTGTTTCTAAAACAAATTTCCTTTCTATCGGTCCTATATAGTTACAAATTAGTTGATAAATATTTTAGTTGACTAAAGAATAGAACAAAGTAATCAGACAGACAGACGGGAATATATAGGAATTTTCATCTCAAGATTTAGAATATCTTGTGTGTGTGTGTTTTTTTTATATAAACGTGCGCAAGGACAATACATAGAACAAAATAATCAGACAGACGAGAATATATAGGAATTTTCATCTCAAGATTTAGAACATCTTATGTGTGTGTGTGTTATTATATAAACGTGCGCAAGGACAATACATAGTATAAAATATCTCAGTATGTAAACATGTTTTGAGTTGAAAGCAACGGGTTCAACCTGCTAGATGATCCGTCTCCATTTTCAGATATATGAATCTGTATTTTTTTCTTCAGTTAGATGTGCTCTTTTTTTAGGGAAAAAAAAATGATTTACACTTTATCATTACTAGCAACTAATGTAGCTAGCACAGACCAATTTTCAAATAAGGTTCTCCTTTTACACCCTTACTTCTCTTTTATGAATTTAATACAATTTATGAACGCCGTTGTCTATGACTACATGTTACTAATTTACATTAGTGTTTAAAGATACACGTAACAGATTTGTTGACACACCAGATACCACTTGCAGCTGCAGGTGGTGAAAATTTTCAAACTGGCATTCAGGGGATGTTCCCCACTTCTTGTCATGGCATTGAGTTGCGGCAAACGGGCCAAGCTCGTGGGCAATGGCATAGGTAAAATGTGGCTACAATGCAGCTGAGTACATGGCATTGGCGCCTGGTTCAAGCCAAGGTACGAAAATGGGCAGCAAACTTCTGATTGACCAAGTCAAGGGCGGTTACCGGCACATGCTGTGCACATGGGCAGCAGTTGAGCTTTGCTAAACTGATGGCAGCAGTGGTTGCACGTTTTTGGGGCCATGATCCCACTATAATTTAGCATGATTTACATGATCCTAGTAGTTGGGTGTTGTCAACAACACTAGGCTAAAGTAGTGGGCTAAGTGGGACAAGTGTCTAAGCCTAAATGCAACAAGTGTAAGGGCAAAGAGGGTTGTCTCATATCATTATAAATGGGCAGCACCCTTATGCTTTTGGAAGAGAGAAAAACGTGTAAGAGAGTACACATTGAGTTAGGAAAGAGTCCTAAGTCTGTTTTCAAGAGTGAAAACATTTAAGGCTAAGAGTAGTCTTGTGAGGGTTAAGAGTGATCTTCTTTTGTACATGGCTGTACTTCGAGTTGAGTTTCTTTGTATGCTCGAGTTAAATACAAAGTTGGGGAAGAAATTTTCTGTATATTGTGCCTTGTGTTCTTTTATAATTTTGTTGCCTTTATCATATTTCGTTGCCTAAACGTTCCTAAAACTTACTACGTTGAAAGCTGCCTAAAAATAATCTAAGTCCAAAGTTGCTGTAATTTTGGCTAAGTGTTGGAGCAGGCTGAAGTCAAGTGCGAGAATTGGCTGCCGCGCAGGCTGTTTTTGTGTGATATAAAATGCGCATGTGACAACTGGTATCAGAGCGGAGCAGGTTCGTGACGGAGACACGACAGGCATTGTCAGATTTCGTGGTCTTGTTTGAGAACATGGCCGGTGGTAACAACGAACTGCGGGAAAGGCTAACGAAACTGGAGGCATTGGTTGGAATTGTCCCTGAAGGTGAAAAAATTCAAACTCTCGTGACAAGGCTTGCTTACCTTGAGGCAGAATTGGCAAAGCTAAGTCAAGAGAATGCGGATCTAAGGAGCGAGACAGTGGTGCTGCGACGTGTTGTGGGTGAGGATGCTCCTCAACGTGGTGCCGATCGTCTCAAGGTAAAGATCCCGGAACCTAAGGCATTTGGTGGTGCAAAGAGTGCACGTGAATTGGAGAATTTTCTTTGGGATATGGAGCAGTACTTTCATGCTATTCGTGTGCAAGATGAGAAAGAGAAAGTAACCTTGACTAGCATGTATTTGGGTGACGATGCTAAGTTATGGTGGCGCACTCGTGTGGTTGAAAATGAAAGTTTGGGCAGACCAAAGATTGAGTCGTGGGAGCGTCTTAAAAAGGAATTGAAGGATCAATTTCTTCCTAGCAATACGTCTTGGATTGCTAGGGACAAACTGAAAAAGTTGAGGCAAACCAGATCAGTTAGAGCATATGTCAAAGAATTCACTTCTTTGATGTTGAGCATCAGCAACATGTCGGAAGAAGACAAGTTGCACAACTTCATGAGCGGGCTGCAACAATGGGCAGAACTTGAGTTGCGAAGGCAGAATATTCAAAACCTCGCAAGTGTTGTGGCTGCGGCTGACGCATTGGGTGATTTTCACTTGGGAGAAGAGACTTCTGCTTCAAAGTCTAACGAGGGAAGGAAAGACAAGGCAAAGGAGTGGAAGAAATGTGAAAATAACAATACTAATGAAGACAATAGGAAGGGAAAGCAAGAGGCTGGAACTTCGAAATGCAAGGAGCAGGGCAGAAAATATGGTGGCTATTACATTTGTGATGGGCCACACTGAGCAAGGGACTGCCCAAAGAAGGTAGTGTTAAATGCTATGACTGCCGCGGATAAGAGGGCTGCATTAGAGGCAATGACCAGCGACAATAAAGCAGCTGGAGTGAATGCAATTGTGGCTGATGAGAAAGGGGGTCAAGGGGCGTTGCTTGTCAACCCCTTAGGACTCATAAATTGAGCTAAACTCGACGAGGACGTCGAGTTTCAAAGGGTGCGGGTGGTTTGTTAGACCTGCGCCAATTGAAGCTCGACTTGACAACAAGAGTGTTATCATGGGGCAGCAAGAGTGTTGCCAAGCTAAGGTGCATGAGCAGCACCAAAGCAAAAATGGGAAACGGGCAAGTGATGGCCAAAGCTTTGACGGAGGTGAGACAGCTTGGCAAGGGCTTGACAATGAGTTGCGGGCTAAGGGTGACACTTGATCATGGCAAAGGTATCAAGGCATGAGGCATTGATGCCAAGGCAAGGCAAAAACGAAGTGGCAAAGGCAGGCTAAAGTACAACGAAAGACAGTGTGCGCGGACAGACTTGTCATGGCATTGAGTTGCGGCAAACGGGCCAAGTTCGTGGGCAATGGCATAGGCAAAATGTGGCTACAATGCAGCTGAGTACATGGCATTGGCGCCTGGTTCAAGCCAAGGCACGAAAATGGGCAGCAAACTTCAGATTGACCAAGTCAAGGGCGGTTACCAGCACATGCTGTGCACATGGGCAGCAGTTGAGCTTTGCTAAACAGATGGCAACAGTGGTTGCACATTTTTGGGGCCATGATCCCACTATAATTTAGCATGATTTACATGATCCTAGTAGTTGGGAGTTGTCAACTGCACTAGGCTAAAGTAGTGGGCTGAATGGGACAAGTGTCTAAGCCTAAATGCGACAAGTGTAAGGGCAAAGAGGGATGTCTCATATTGTTATAAATGGGAAACACCCTTATGCTTTTAGAAGAGAGAAAAATGTGTAAAAGAGTACACATTGAGTTAGGAAAGAGTCCTAAGTCTGTTTTCAAGAGTGAAAATGTTTAAGGCTAAGAGTAGTCTTGTGAGGGTCAAGAGTGATCTTCTTTTGTACAAAGCTGTACTTCGAGTTGAGTTTCTTTGTATGCTCGAGTTAAATACAAAGTTCGGGAAGACATTTCCTGTATAGTGTGTCTTGTGTTCTTTTATAATTTTGTTGCCTTTATCATATTTCGTTGCCTAAACGCTAAAACTTACTACGTTGAAAGCTGCCTAAAAATAATCTAAGTCCAAATTTGCTGTAATTTTGGCTAAGTGTTGGAGCAGGCTGAAGTCAAGTGCGAGATTTGGCTGCCGCGCAAGCTGTTTTTGTGTGACATAAAATGCGCCTGTGACAGCAGCCATCTTGCTGACACTACCCTGCACTTCCGGTTGTAGGCAAAAAAAATAACAGAATATCTGGTGGATTAGTTGAATACGTTTAAGTTAGTCTGCAAACCACCATCTTAAACAAAACAAAAATGACTTCTTCTGGTGTCATGCCTGCTGTTTGTGCAGATTCATCTTATATCTCTATGCTGAATGAATGGATTTCCTGTCGTAGTTATTCCAAAATTAGTACAAAGAATAATTGATAGCCTAGAGTGTTCATAATAGTAGTATTGGCACGCAATCTCGCTTTCTGTTGGTAGTAAGTTTTGATGACTAACCATTGTCTTCTTTCATTGTTGATCACTTTACTATCTTGTTATTTTTATTCTACTTCTATATGGCTTTTTGGTACTGTCCCTTCTTGTCTATATTTTCATTAATGTGGTGCTTGTGCTTTCTTGAGCCGAGGGTCTATTGGAAACAACCTCTCTATCCTCACGAGGTAGGGATAAGGTCTGCGCACACACTACCCTCCTCAGACCCCACGGTGTGGGATAATACTGGGTATGTTGTTGTTGTTGGAATAATTGATAGCCCTCTTGCCAAAGTACTTCTCTGTCTGAAAGAATGAGAAGCAACTTTTAAACTGAAAATCAAAACTTTGTTGTGGTAGACAGAGGCAGGGCCCTTTATGAACTACGGTACTTCAGCTTGGCTAAGAAAAACCTGGCCATTATCACATGATGCAATTGCGCTACATGCAGCTTCCTTCTTCCCAGGGAGAGAACATTCGACTTCTTTTTCTAATTTACCTTCCTCCACCTCAGTTATATCTCTGTGCTCGGGCATTATCCCAGCGATGGCATAAGTACTGCTCAGAAGAAGTGAATCGGCAGGATGTTCGCCGAATCTCTGTTCTAGTTCTTTCTTCACTTGTTCTCCCAGCTCAACACTACCATGGACTCTGCATACTGCTAGTAAGGCACGCCATGCAATAGCATCCCCATGAATGGGTAAAACCTTTTATTAGTTCTCGTGCTGTCTCAAGCAATCCAGCACGGCCTAAGAGATCAATCAAACATCCATAATGTTCAATTTTAGGAGTCAAGCCATATTCCAGCACCATTTTTCTAATACAGCTGATGCCCTCAGCCACCAGTCCGCCATGGCTACAAGCATTGAATACTGCCAAGAAAGTCACTTCATTAGGCCTAAAACCCTCATCCTCCATTCTATGGAAGAGCACAACAGCAGCCTCTGCCTCCCCGTGTACCCCGTAGCCCATTATCATTGATGTCCAACACTTCACATCTTTGGTCTCCATATTGTCAAAAACATTAACTGCCTTCATAAGCAAGCCACTTTTAGTATACATATCTATCAATGCTGTCGCAAGAACTGGATCCATAGCTAATTGCTGATCATCTAAAAAGTTCTGAATATAATGACCCATATTGAGAGCCCCGGAGGAAGCAAAAGCAGAAAGCAAACCTGCCAAAGTTGATGAATTTGGCTTCAATCCTTGAATCTTCATTTGCCTCAATAGAAACAGTGCCTCTTCTAGAAAGCCATTTTTAGCATATCCGTCTATCAAACAGTTTCACAAGACAACATCTTTGGGATAAGCTTCATGAAATAGACTACGGCCCGAGCTAATGCAGCCCATCTTCCCATACATAGAAATCAAGGCAGTTAACACCTTCACACTATAGAAAAATCCATTCTTTATGCAACACCCATGCAGGGATTCCCCTACCAAAGCAATCTTTAACTCACCAATCGTAGACAAAACACACAACATCGTCGTGGCACTAGCAGAAGCACCATTTGTGTGCAATTCAATAAACAATTCCAAAACAGCAGGATAATTATGCACACAAAAGATAACCGCCCATCAAAGTGTTCCAACTCACCAAATCCCTATCTGAAAATTCATCAAACATTGGTGGGCACAACGGATTCTCCCAGAAACACAATAAAAATTCAAAAGGGTGTTCCTCAAATCAATAAACAAATCAAACCCACATCTCAAAGCAACTGAAAGAATAGTTTCACCAGTCCATTTTGCCAATAATCGTATACAAGATCTAAGTCCAGAAACAAAAGCAAATTGATCAAGAATTACACTTTGTGCCCTCACGTAGTTAAAAACAAAAGACCCTTTTGTGGGTCATCACTTATTGAATAACTACGAAGCATGGTATTATACATATAAAGATTTGGGCTTTGTATGTATTTAAAAATTGAATGATAAATCCCCTAACTCTTAATAATTAAAGGAATACCTTGGAACCCATAAGGGATTTACTTGTCTATATATTGTTCCGTTCGATCTTTTCGGTCCCGACTTCATCTCGATGGTTAGGCCACCACGCCCTTAAAATCTATAGGTGATAGATAGACTCCTAGAACCATGACATATTTGCTTACTTGAACATAATTTCTTTCCACGAAAAGAAAGGAAATGGTTCATTCCACAAAATAAAAAGCTTTTTTCACGAGGTACAAATAGAAATTTCTCTTTATTTGATTTGTTACGAAATCGACCATAGATCAATTCCCTTTTTATTTGGGAGTATTGACTACACCCCAATTCTGAGCTTCATGTTACTCTTTCCAAGTGACATGTCAGGTCCAGGGCATCCCAATTGGATTGACTGGGATGACAGTTTCTCCTTCCGAGTCTTTATAATCATAATTTCGATCAAATCACACATCGCAGTATACTAGGCCTTCTAATTCTTTAAGAGGTTTATCTAAAAGATTCGCAATATAACTAGGAAGACGTTTTAAATACCACACATGGGTTACTGGGCATGCGAGTTTGATATAGCCCATTTGATACCTTCGTATCCAAGAATCAACAAATTCGACCCCGCATTGTTCACAAGATTTCGGGTCTTCTTTTTCGTCTCCTATTACTCGATAATTTCCACAAGCACAAATTCTGCTTTTTATAGGACCAAAAATTCTTTCACAAAATAATCCATCTCTTTTCCGGTTTGTTAGTTTTGTAATGAAAAGTATAGGGCTTTGTTACCTCTCCAACTATCTCTCCATTAGGCGGGATTTTAGTGGCCCAAGCACTTATTTGTTGAGGAGAAACTTATCCAATTCGGAGTTGCTGATGTTTATATCGATCGATCATAGAAGAAAAATTAGTATTCATTCCGACTAAGCTTCCTTCCTATTAATCTGGAAGTTCTTCTCAGATACAAGGAAATGATTCAATTCCAGAGCTAAAGATCGTAGTTCTCGAACGAGCAATCGAAAAGATTCTGGAGCGTCTTCGGGATTAGGTATTGTTCCCCGAATGATCGTAGTACCAAGTACTTCTTGGCGAGATCTAATATGATCTGATTTATAAGTAAGCATCTCTTGTAAAATATGAGCAACCCCAAACCTCCATTTCTCCTACCCGTTGTCCCCTCCTGCTTGGCTCTTCCTCTAAGGGGTTGTTGTGTAACAAGCGCATAATGTCCACTTGAACGCCCATGGATTTTATCATCAACTTGATGAGTTAATTTCAAGGTATAAGGCTTTCCCATTATAACGGGTTGTTCAAAAGGATTCCCCGTCCTTCCATCAAATATTCTAGATATTCGGGTTCAAATACAGAACGCTAGGGGGAGATTATGCCGAGCATCGTAGATATGTACGTATCCCCGCCGGAGAACCCACCTCCTAGATAGAGGGAGAAACGGAGGTGGTATATCCGGAGGTAATGGTGGTAGAGGTGGCTGCAACTGCAGGAACCGCTCCCAGGCCCAAACCTAACATACAAAGTTGACGTAAAATTTAAGATAAATTTTTACTAGATATGTTATAATGAATAGAGTATTCGAATATGTTATCACCTGTAGCAGCGGCAAAAATCCACATACGTCATGTTGGGTGCCCATGCTCTCCCGACACATCTGCCTGTACAAGTAGGCGAGAACAGTAGCACCCCAGCTGTACTGGGTAAATCATCTAGCCGCTCAAGATGATGAAGGAATCTCAAGCTGACTAGGTTCCCCGAATTGTTCGGGAATAAGACCCCTCAAACATAAGGAGCAGCAACAACCTAGTATACAGGTGAATATGCAGATTATCTGTCTCGCTAGTGATGTCGGGGTGCAATATCTCCAAATATTGTCGAATAGCCGTCAAACTCAGGTGACTGGCCCCTGAGTGTGCAGTCTCGTCCTATGGCCTGAAACTAGTGAGCTGCTGCAGCATGTCCAAATACTGCCCGCGCGTCATCTCTCTCATGGACTGCGGCAGTGCAACGGGCAACCCATATAAAACCTCCACGTCCTGTAGCGTGATGGTGGCCTCGCCAATGGGCAGGTGGAATATGTGCGTCTCCGGTCGCCACCGCTCTATCAGGGCCATGACCAAAGACCAATCGAGCTGCAGCCGCCCGATCTCCAAAATCCTGTAGAAGCTCGTATCCCGCAGGCGCTGGACTATACGGGGATGGAGAATTTTGCCCTTCAGAAAATCCCACATGTCGTCCACTCTCCTGACGCAGAGAGTCTGGGCCAATAACTCTCCCTCCCATATGTGGGCGGACCTATGATCGCCCTGTAACACTAATAGCTCATCGCAGAAAGGTTCGGGATGCATAGGCGGCACATACATGTCGTCTACTGTAAATTAAATAGCATTAATTATATGTTTGTTTTGTAAATTAAATAATTAATTATTATAATTATACAATATTTAATTAGACAGAGTATTCACATATGGGTTCCAGGCTCGATATTTGAGGTCCAGTAGCACCAAGCTATCCTGAATTCTTGTATGTGTCAATTTTATTATTTTACATGTTAGTTTCATAATTTTATATGTTTATTTTGTAAATTAAATAATTAATTTTTTTAATTATACAATATTTAATTGGAGAGAGTATTCACATATGGGTTCCAGGCTCGATATTTGAGGGCCAGTAGCATCAAGCTATCCTGAATTCTTATATGTGTCAGTTTTATTATTTTACATGTTAGTTTTATAATTTTATATGTTTGTTATTGTAAATTAAATAATTAATTTTTATAATTATACATTATTTAATTGGACAGAGCATTCACATATGGGTTCCAGGCTCGATATTTGAGGCCCAGTAGCACCAAGCTATCTTTAATTCTTGTATGTGTTAGTTTTATTATTTTACATGTTATTTTATAATTTTATATATTTGTTTGTAAATTAAATAATTAAGTTTTGTAAATTAGACAAAGTTTGTATTTGATCTATCACTATAAGTGATACTTAAACAACAGGGATACTACGCTAAAAGGCTCTACATTTTACTACGCTAAAAGGGCACTATATTACTAGCCTTTAAGCAAATAAATAATCTAAACTAGATAAAAATAACAAATATATTTTAATCACAAAACATTCACGAAAAATACATATAAAATAGTAAAAGTAATTTATTAACATTTTTATGAACAAATAATAATGATTTCTCAATTTTTACATATTTTTTAAGAACACTAATATCTTAGTCCGGATAAAAATAACATACCAGTTTAATCGCAAAAAAAAAATACAAAACAACATGGAACACATTCAAAACAACTAATATGCGTTATTTATACGATTTTTGATATAAACTAAATCGGAATACCTCGATTTATGTTTTTCGGAAAGTTGAAGAACTGAAAATTTGAGTCTGAAACAAGCAACCCACAACAATAGAAGGCTTGGCTAGGATGTGGGACCAACACTCTTGTCTTTTTGTGGGACGGGTGGGGTCCACTCGGATTTTTTATCGAGTAAATTGGGTGGGGGGAGCTTCTGGTTCAAAACGTGAACGAAAGGGAATAGGACGAGTACTGATGTATGTATGGAACGGTATATAAAAGCGTTATATGTATAGCGCTTTTATATACCGCGCTATGCATACCTGTCTAATCAGCTCCCAGGTATATCGCCTTTCTTAAAGGCATTTTATATATAACACTCTTTAAAAGAGCGCTATACCTTAACATCCAAAACGGACGTTAAAGTATAGCGCTCTTTAAAAGAGCGCTATATATAGATATGTCACTCTTTTTTTACACTTATTTCGGTCCTACATGTCCAAAAGAACCACATTTAGGTTCTGGACGCTTGCTTCTAAGTTCGTTAATCTGCAGCTTTATTTATCTTCTATTTTTTCCATTAGTTTTATTTTTTCCATTAACTATATTTCACCCATTGCATTTTATATAAATTTATTTGATCGTTGTTTAAAATAGTAAGTAAAGCTTTTGCAATTTAATTTGAAACATATTATGATATTTGTGTAACTATAAAATATATTATACAAGATAAAAAGAGGGATTTAATATTATATTTGTATGGGTGAAAATCAGATTGAGAACTAAGTCGTGCAGAGTTAGGCGAGCAGAGTAACCTGGAAATTGTTAAGTGTGGCGTGGTCGTGGTCGATCAGTAACCTCATATGCCAAGTATCTCGACAACCGGTTGTGGTCGAGGTCGAGAAACAGAGTTAGGAATAACGGCTAGTTATATTGCGATCCACAAATGCCCTAAGAGATATCGGGGACAAATCAATTTGCATGTCCTTAGAAAAATTGAAATAGAAAATTATAGATTCTTCTTCTTTACTGAGGGAGTAGGTATGGTGCACACTTACTTTTTGAATGGGTTACCTTAGGCATTACTAACTAATCCACTATGTCCACTATCGAATAGCCTATTCCATTGAATATCCTCCCTGTTTGTACTTTTAGGGTTCTTAGAGAATATCTCATATAGATAGAAAGAAAGAGGAGGAAAAAGGTATGTAAGATTCTATGTGATAAGAACACTTGTAAAAGGATAATCTCTCAGACAAAATACAAAGAACCACTTTTCACTAAGATTAATCCTTTTAGTGAACTATTCTATTGTCTTTTCCATCAGATCCAAGAAAGTGCATAATATTCCATCTCACCGTGTCATTCATCATTGTCAGAGGAAGAAATTCTTCACCCTCTTCAATATTAGGTGAACCTTTCCCTCTATCTACATTAATTGCCATTTAATATTATTTATTGCTTGCTCTCTCTACATAGCATAACATCTGGTCACATTCATTATCCACATCTTATTTCGAGTATACTGTTATTCACATCATTCGTTATAGATCTACAATTATTAGCTTTAACTAGGACTGTCCCATCTTGATAAATCATTTATCAGTTTAACCAATGATTAACTCATTTTTAGTCAAACAATTTGGCGCCATCTATGGGGATTCCTAATCAAAGTCTTAGTTTTTCTAGATCTAAAAAAAAACAGCAACAATTCAACACAGAAATTTCTTTTTCTTACGTGCACAGTCTAACATGGCAGGTAATGGAGAGAAAATACTGAAGGCAGTGGCAAGCCTTATTGCTAACCTCCTAAACACCATCAATGAGGTTACTGGAAAAGACGAGGAGAATGTGACACAAAAGGCTTCCCCTAGACGAAGTGATTCACCCCTCCCTCATGATAGCGTCACAACCTCCCATGGAAAAGGGGCATCTACACCCATAGCGGAAGAGGCACCGCCAACAGTGAAAAAGCTACTAGAAGCATGGCTAGCGAGTACACTGACCAGCATACTCGACAAACCCGCCCAAAGGACGAGCAGAGAGGATGTACGAGTCGACATCACATCAGCAACTGATGAGCAACACGACCCTCCTCCTGTAACAGGTATCGCTCACACCATTAATAATGTAGGTAATAA